AGCCATTTGCCCTCAAGCCACATTTTCTGTCTTGTCTGCTTCACTAAAATAGGGATGGTTATCACCCCCTCACTCAAGGCTGTCTGAGAATCTAATGAAAGAAGAGCTTCAAAACTGCTTGGAGGAACTTTTCTGGTGGTCCGGTGGTTAAGACTTCACTTTCTAATGCAGGGTGTGTGGGTTCGATCCCTGGTTGGGAAGCTAAGATCCCACATGCCTCCAGGCCAAAAAACCAAACCATAGAGCAGAAGCAATGTTGTAACAAATTCAATAAAGACTCCCACATCAACAAATCTTAAAAAAACAAAAAAACAAACCTGCTTGGAGATGCATTCCAGGGTATTAGAGAATGAGGTATCAGGAGTGAAAAGTTTCACGGTCTGTGATTTGCTTAAAAGTGTTTCAGTCAACAAAAGGAGTTGAAGCAAATACGGCAACATATGAACAATGGTTAATCTAGGTGAGGGGTGTGTAGATGGGTATAGTTACCCTTTCTCTACACTTTTCTGCATACTTGAAATTTTTCATAGCAAGCATTCCATCATCATACAAAAAAGTGCTCGAGCAAGGTAAACGGAAGAGACGGTGTTACTCACGGAGAATACGCCCTCGGAGAGTTCCGGTCCTGGGCTCTTCAGCCAGGTGGGATTCACCACCCCAGGAGCTGGAGCAACCCACCCTTTACCAGCCTTGGGCACAGAGCCATGGTCAGGAAGTGACTTTGGTTTCCCTGCTTCCTCCCCAGGCAGGCCTGGTGCCTGTGGCTGGGTGAGGGAAGCCTCCCACCTCTTCTTCTCAGTGCGAGGCACTATCTGACAGACCCAGCTCCGAAAAAGCAGCCGCAGGCACTGGGGACAGTGAGGGCTGCCTAGCACAGCCAACCAGTGGGGGGGGTGGGGCGGGGGGGGGCTGATGAATATGCAGATAGAGGCCGGAGCTGGTTGGCTGCCCCTTGCCATATCCCATTCCCACCCCAACTCAGATGCACAGAAGAGCCAGCTCAGAGAGGACCTTTTTGAAATGCCATCTCTTCTGCTGTTGCCTAAGGATCCACAGAGCCTCTTGAAATTTTGAGACTGAATTATCAAGCTTCTCCCATTACATAGCGCTCCTGACCTCTGCTTCCAGATTCTCCAGGGAGTCAGCACCAAAGGGATCATCTTTCTCCCTGTCCCTCATCTTGAGGATACGGAAACCAGTCCAGCACCAAAAACATGGCATCTCAGCTCTGCAGGAAAGCTATGTGACTTCTCCCCCCAGCAGAGGTCTGGAAACCATTGGGGAGGTCATTTGCTGGGCCCAAAGCCCCCTTCTCTGGCAGAGCTGGGGAGAACTCACTGGCCAAATCACTTCCCCTGAACATCACTTGAATTTTAACAACTTCTTCTTCAGTTTGGGAAGTAAAGTGAATGCTGTGAAACACAGCAATGAAAATCGATGAGCTTAAAGCTCAATTCACCATGGATAAGTCCTGAAAACATAATGTTGAGTGAAAGACTTAAGTCACAGAATGATACAGGTACTGTGATTCTATTTACATTACATTTAAAAATAGGCCAAAATGTCTAAATATTTGCTGAGTACTTATCCATCCATTATTTTTAATTACAAATGAATGAAGAGATAGATGGATGAAATCTGGGTATCATGAGCAATACAAAGAGAATATAGGATATAGTCTCTATGGACCCCAGGCTCTAGCCCTGTCTACCATCTGGTAAATATTAGGAAAAATGTAAGAAATGATGTGAGTGTGTAGTTCAGGCCACACTTACGAATATTGGAGGATTTCAGTTAAAGAAAAACGAGTCTGTGTGTATTATTTAGGCTGAGCTGCCTTCTTTGTGGGGCTTTCCAAGTGGCACAGTGGTAAAGAATCTGCCTGCTGATACAGGAGATGCAACAGACGGAGGTTCGATTGCAAAGACCAGACACAACTGAGCATGCACGCACATGTCCTCTCTGTGGTGTTTATTTTATTTTTAATTAACTGAGCCATTTATTCTTCCTAGAAGTATATATTTTTTTGTACAATTTGAAAGTAAATATGTCTTTTCCTCAGTTTGAAGAAGGGCCAAAAACATGTGTACAGTTTCGGACACATGCATACTGAAACTGCAATGAAAATAAGGAGATGGTTAACATACAGTCCAGTATAGCAGGGGTTAACTCTGGGATGACCAGCAAGGAGGGTCACATAGGGCTTTGTCATTTCTTAAGTTGCATGGTGAGTATGGGTATTCTTTTTATTCCTTTTCTTTAAATCACACACATGTATTTTATATGCCATTTTGAATATATATTTTACCATAAAAACTTAAAAATTTTATCACCCCTGCCGTAATCACAAGTCTATGAACTTGTAGTCATCAACTCCTGTCCCAATAGATGATGCTGTGTCTTGGGAGGCTTTAAATACAGAAGAAGGTGTAAGCTGATTGGGTTGGACCTTGGGCTCCATGGAAGCTCATATGAGAATTTCAAGAAAATTAGTTTCAACCTTTATCCTGAGATAAACTTTGCATGTTACCACATATGTGTGTACACGTGTGTGTACACACACACATGTATACTCCTACATATGTGTTATCTAATACTGTAACATGTAATTAACTTGGGTGATGACTGAAACTCCAGGAGAAATGCTTTGCCACATTGTCCAGGCCTGAGCTTCTAAACTGTCAGTGAGAATCTCAAAAACCAATTGAAAACTGCAAAAATTAAGTAGCTATTAAGAAATATTAACAGCTACCCCTGGAAAAGATTACCATGACTCCTGATTACTGTTTTTGGATTCTTCAGCTGTAACCATCAGTGTTGTCAGCATGGCAGTATGTATTCATTCTACTTGTATTTATTGAGTACCTATGGAATACCAGAGACTGCATCCTGTGCAGAGCATTCAGGAAAACAGAGTCAACTCTTTCCTCCTGCTACTCTGCCCAGTAGAGGAGACAGGTAAAAATGACATTACAATGCAAAGTAGGGATACAGGCACATGCTTTGGAAAAACAGAAAAGATACAATTCTGCTACATGGGATTGGAAGGGATTCAAAAGGTATTTAGAGGATGATTAGGAGTGCCTAATCAGGAGTTGGGAACAGCCCAGGCAAAGATTCGGAAGGAGTGAAATAACTAAAGCTACTAAAGCTCAGCACCTGTGAGAATGGGGATGGGCAAGTAGGGAGCGGATTACAGTATAGCCAGAGGCCAGATTATCAGGTGAAACTGAAGAGTTTGGACTTTATCCCACTGATAGGGAGAAGCAATCTAAGGACTTTACACAGGGGGGGTGACAGGATTAGATTTGCATTTCAAAGACATCTTTGACACAGGTGTGGAGAATGAGTTAAGAGAGTTTGGGAGTGGCCCCCTGGGTCCTTTCAAGAAGCTTTTTAAAATAATCCAGGTGAAGGATGCTGAGGACTTGATCAGGGGCAGTGACAGGGCAAAGATGTTTTCTCTATTTCAAGTTAGGGCTTCTGCTCACCCCTCCAGAATTCCAGGGCAAGTGCTTTCAGGGTTTGAGTCATTGAAGGCACCAGAAAGTTCCCAAGGACCAGGCAAGAGGACTCAACGAAAGAAACCAACATGAGTAGGCACCAAGCGGCTCATTCATTCATTCTTAATTCAAGCAGAAGCCTATAGTACACCTTTTCTATTAGGAAAGTGAACTATGAAAGTGAATACTCAGGAGCTTGGGGCTTTAAGGGGAGGGGGAGCTAAAGAATAGAGGGAGTGCCATGTACTTTCACTTTGAAGCAGGGCAGTCCAATTCAGCCCAGAATTTTTTACTGCACATCTAAACTATGACAATCTCTGTTCTAAGTGCTGGGGATACATTATACTTCAAAAACAAACAAACATATAGAGAAAGAAATCTGACTGGGGTTACCAAAAGAAGGGGAATTGGATGAAGGTATAAACTTCCAGTTAAAAGTAAGTACTAGGGATGTAATGTACAACATGATAAATTATGTTTTATGTTATTAATATATATGAATGTTTTTATCTTTTTTCTTTTGCTTTTCTTTTCTTTATTTTTATATGAATGTTTTAAAGAGCATAACTGCTAAGAGTTCTCATCACAAGAAAAACAGTTTAAAAAAATTTCTTTAATTTTGTACCTATGAGATGATTTGTTGTTCAGTTGCCAAGTCATGTCCGACTTCTGGAGATACCATGGACTGCAGCGCGCCAGACTTGCCTGTCCTTCACTATTTCCCGAAGTTTGCTCAAACTCATGTCCATTGAGTCAGTGGTGCTATCTAACCATCTCATCCTCTGCTGCCCTCTTCTCCTCCTGCCCTTAATCTTTCCAGCATCAGGGTCTTTCCCAATGAGTCGGCTCTTCGCACCAGGTGTCCAAAGTATTGGAGCTTCAGCATCAGTCATTCCAAAGAATATTCGGTGTTGATGTCCTTTAGGATTGACTGGTTTGATCTCCTTGCAGTCCCAGGGTCTCTCAACAGTCTTCTTCAGCACCACAGTTGGAGAGCCTCAGCCTTCTTCATGGTCCAGCTCCCACAACTGTACATGACTCCTGGAAAAACCATAGCATTAACTAGGTGGACCTTGATCCTCAAAGCGATGTCTCTGCTTTCCAATATGCTGTCTAGGTTTGTCATCGCTTTTCTTCCAAGGAGCAAGTGTCTTTTAATTTCATGGCTGCAATCACTGTCTGCAGTGACTTTGGAGACTTTATTAAGTCTGTCACAGTTTCCATTTTTTCCCCATTTATTTGCCATGACGTGAAGGGAATGGATTGACAAGATCTTAGTTTTTTGAATGCTGAGATGATGCTCACTAAACTTTTTGTGATAATCACTTCATGAGATGCATAAAACAAGTTACGCTCTTAAATTTATACAGTGCTACAAGTCAATAATATTTCAACAAAAACTGTAATTTTAATAAATGGCCGGATATACAAGAAGTGAACAAGATAGACCAGGTTCCTAAATCTCATGGAGTTTATTTACCGCGGCCCGACCCGCTTCCGGTTGCTGCCGGGCCCAATATCCGGTGTCCGCCCGCCCTCGGCTCCGCTGCCGTGATGCTGTCCCTGTCCCGCTGCGCGTCCCGGGCTTTCAGCCGCTCGCTCTCCGCCTTCCAGAAGGTACGGTCCGACGGAGCCGGGACCCCCGGCGGGTGAGAAAGTCGCCGGCGGGCAGACGGGGGTAGGGTGGGGACGACAAGGGGCGTGGCGCACCGGCCAGGCCGGGCACCAAGGGCACCGGGACGCGGAGGCCGCCGCCGCGGTGCTGGGCTGCCCGGAGCCGCTGTCGTCTCCCCGGCCGTCTTGTGGAGCCCAGCGGCCGGGCGCCTTTCCCGCGGCCGCCGGCGCCGCGGCCCCTGCCGTACCCCACCCTCCGTCCGCGCGGGCGGAGGAGCCGCCCAGAGCCGCGCCCGCCCGGGCACTAGACTCTATTAGAGCTCGGGGGGAGGCGCCGCGGAAGCCCCCGACTGGATCCGGGGACCTCTTTTCTTCTCTGTTAAAAAGCCAGTGGGTTATCACTCCGTGGGGGAAGGTTGAGATAGTCTGGCAGGCCAGGCGTCCCGCCCGCGTTGTTGCTGTTGCCTTTGCCTTTGGGAGGAGGCCTGAGGTTCACCTGTCAGCAGTCCCGGGGGCAGCTTTAAGTCTGTACTTGAAAAAGCTGTTTCTTTCCTCACTTTTCGTCTCGGGTGACCGACGTCTTCTTTCTCAACAGGGGAACTGCCCTCTAGGGAGACGTTCCCTGCCCGGTAAGTTCTGCCCTTTTGCCGTCCCCTAAAAATGTTCTCTCCTGGGCAGAGCCGCGTGTGAGGAAATCGGGTGCCTGTGTTTTTTCTCCGCCTCGTGTTCAGAGAGAGAGAGAGAGAGGAGCGAAACAAAACACTCTTATCTATTAAAAAAAAAATTACTGATTTATTTGGCTGCACCGGGTCTTAGTTGAGGCATTTGGGAATCTAGTTCCCCGACCAGGGATGGAACGGGGATCCTACCCCCCCCACCCCCCCCTCACCTTCGCTGCATTGATTGAAAGTGCCGAGTCCTAGCCACTGGAAGCCACCCCAAATGCTATTTAGTAACAGCTGCCGTTTGTTCATTTAGCACATAGTTACTCAGTATCTACTCAGTGTCAGGCACTTCTGCTGCTAGGCACTCACAAGGGATACAGCACTGAAGTGGTGGGGCGGGGGCGGTTTCTCACCATCCGGGAACTTACAACCTAGTAAGGGAAAGACAATATGTAAATTGCTCAACAAATGGACTATCATGAATGCTGAAAAGGAAACAAATGAAGCTGAACACTGAAGCTGTGACCCAGAGGACGTGACAGGGGCCATCCAGATGAAGAGCAGGAAAAGGGAAGGGAATGGCATGTGTAAAGTCCCTGAGGAAGGAAAGCTCTTGTCAATATTTTGGAACTAGCAAAAGAGGTGATTTAGCCAGAACATTTTGGTTGAGGCAGAGAGTGACATGAGATAGAAGATGGCAGAGAGACGAGTGGAAAGAATTCAGGTTTTTATCCCAATGGTTTTTTATATGCCTGGCATAAATATTCATTGAATGAGTTGATTTTCTTATGGGCATTCTATGTGCTAAGTATTGTTCTGAGTGCTTTCTGTGCCTTTTTTCAGTTACTCATCAAGAAACAGTAAAATAAATATTTTCTCTATTTTACAAATGTATGACTCAAGGCTAAGAGAGGTTAAGTGCCTTGACCAAGGTCACTCTGCCAACTATTGGTCAAGCCAGGTCTGCTCCTCAGCCTGAACTCCTAACCCATCATATTATCATTTACTCATAATGAATAGATTATTTGTTGAATTCTCACTCTATGCCAGACACTATGCTAGGTGGCAGGGATAGAGGTGGTCTCTACCCTCCAGGCGGAGAAGGCAGTGGCGCCCCACTCCAGTACTCTTGCCTGGAAAATCCCATGGATGGAGGAGCCTGGTGGGCTGCGGTCCATGGGGTCCTAAGAGTTGGTCACGACTGAGCAACTTCACTTTCACTTTTCACTGTCATGCATTGGAGAAGGAAATGACAACCCACTCCAGTGTTCTTGCCTGGAGAATCCCAGGGACGGGGGAGCCTGATGGGCTGCCGTCTATGGGGTCGCACAGAGTTGGGCACGACTGAAGTGACTTAGCAGCAGCAGCTACCCTCCAGGAGGGTACATAAGTACCCTTAATTACATAAGTACATAGTTACATTGTGATTACTGTGAAAGAGAAGTAGAGAGTGGGCTGATAAAGCCAGGCTTGGGAGGGTGGAGAGTGAGGTGGCACCATCAGTAAAGGCTTCCCCAGAGAAGTGACATTTATGCCAAGTCTTGAAGAATGTATAGGAGTTGGCCAGGAGAACGATATTCTAGGCACAGGGAATTGCTTATGCTAAGTTTTCAGACCGGAAGAGGCATGGCCAGTCATAGAGATGGAAAGGAAGCTTGTCTGGAAGGGCTGGACAGGAATGTGTAGTTTTTGGACTTTATCCTTAGAGTCATGAGATCATAAGCACCTAACACAGTGTTAGCTCATTGGGGACTCTCAGTAATAAACTCTTTAGCTTGGAATTTTGAAAAATGTCAGTAAACATTTTCTCCATTTTATAGACTGGCAGAACAATGGGAAGAGCCTTGTTCTTGCCATTTGTGTTGTGATTCAGGGCTTCTCCTTGGGCTAGCCACTTAACCTCCAAAAGCCCTACTTATATATGAAATGAGAATAATGGCAATGGTCATTCCACTTCAGGGAGTGTGAGATGAAAATAAAAATGAGGTCATTATGTGAAAGCTTTTTATAAATTCTAAAGCACTGTACAAATGAAACTTGCTGTAGGATAAACTCTAAAGTGGACTTAGAGTTCCAAAAATCAGTATGGGCTGCTTGCTGGCTGCAAGCTCATACATGTTGTGTTTGGGATTTGTACTATAGTCGTTGGCTATTGGACATCAAGAGGTGACTTACTTAACTGAAACCTTGAGGATGTTTGTGGGAAGCTGGGACAAGAGAGAATTGTCTTCCAGTTGGTATTTCCTGTGCTTATGGTTCAGATAGAGCTGTTTTTTGATCTGAAAAAAACAAGACACATGAAAGAATAAAATCTGGTGAAGCAGATAGAGCAGTTGTCTGTTGTGGCAGTGTGGTTATTTGTAATAAGGACAATTGGTGGGGCAGAAAGAAGCTCTCACCTTGTTAAGTGTGACCAGAAGGGAAGGTCTCGGCAAGAGTGGGAGGCAGTGAATGGAAAGGAGGTGTAGTAGTTTGAGCAAGCCGAAGACCTTGGGCCTGAAGGAGCCTAGTCTTTGTTGTTGGGATTCAGGGCAAGACTTCCAGCTCAATGCATTTTAAGTAACCAGGGAAACAAACTCGGACCAAACGTTCCACTGCTTCTCTGACTAGCCTGTGTATAGTCATAGGATAAGCTCTCATGTGTCTCTTTCAGGCTTCAATTGTATTTGAAAACTTGGGAAATAGAGGCATTCTATTGTGAAAACATACAGGGATAATGAAAGTTTATGAATTTTGAGATAAATAAGATTATAGAATTCTCCCCTTTCTTTCTCAAACCCATTCCCCACAGTTGCACATACCTGTTGTTTTCTGCCATTACAATTACTGTGGTGGAAAAGTTTAAGAGGCAGGACTCTGTGATGTAGATTATATTATTGCCTGCTGTTGATCCTGCTGTATCTCAGAGTTAGGGGGTGAACAAATTCTCCATTCCCAGCAGGTATCCTGTATGAGATAAAGAGTTGTTGGTTAAGAGTTGTTTTGTTTCTTGCAGGGATCTCCTTATGTCAGGGACCAGGTTACCCTGACAGCAGGAAGACTGTGTAAGTATCACTGGGGAGCACAGATATGTGGACCCGGGGTATTGAAGACACCAGTTTGACCATCTGCTTTCTTTCCTGTCTTTCAAGCCTAGTAATCAAGCTGGTTATATTGAGTCCCTTGACCTGACCTTAATGTTAATTTATGTTATGAGCCTGAGCTTCAGCCCCATGTGAAGTATTGGACCAGGAGTGTGTCAGGACCAGGTGTTCAGATTATAATGAAAGTGAAGCTGGAATCCTCTTTTTATGGGAATAGATAGAAGGGTGCTCCTACATATTCTGGTTGGATACAAGTGAAGCTGAAGGACTGAAGGTTACATTTATTGTGGAGATTAAGAGCATGCAACTTCCCTGGTGGCTCAGATGGTAAAAGCATCTGCCTACAATGAGGGAGACTCAGGTTCAATCCCTGGGTTGGGAGCATCCCTTGGAGAAGGAAATGGCAACCCACTTCAGTACTCTTGCCTGGAAAATCCCATGGACGGAGAAACCTGGTAGGCTGCAATCCATGGGGTCACAAAGAGTTGGACACGACTGAGCGACTTCACTTTCTTTCACTTTTGGTTGCATAGTTAATGCATTTTAGAAACTGTAAAAGCAAGAGATTAGTCATTTAAGTCCTGGGACTTTGACTAGTGTAGAGGGAATGAATGCTACTATTGCATAATGCAAAATTTGGAGAGAGGCCACCCATGTGTGTTTCAGATTAACTTCTGCTTATGAACGTTGCTTAATGCTACTTTGCATTCCAAGTATTTTCAGGGTGGTAGTAAGAGGACGCTCTTTAGTTTCCTGTTGAGCAGCTGTCAAGCTATTTTTCTCTATAGGTAGAATCTTCAAAATGAAGGGTCAGCAGATTTCTCCTCCTTCACTGTGCATTACAATGGCAATTTGGCATTCCTAAGTCTTTGAACTAGGTGTACCTTTTGATCTAGCAATCCCACTTCTAGGAATCTGTACTGAGCTCCTAGTGTACCTGTATTTCTCAGAATGGTCAGACAATAGTGGATTGGTTAGGCTATGCTATGTTATGTGTTCATTCTATAAGTGGGAAAAAGCGGGTTATAAAATTATTCCTTTTGTATTGTATGGTATAGTCCCATTGTAAATGTTCTTTTTACTGTAAGTTTTCTATTGTTAACATCTAATACTTTTGTAAGTTAAAAATAATTTAGGGAGAGTTAAAGTGTGTTTCTCATCTACAGTTTAAATGAAAATTAGAGCGACCACAAATCCTATGCAATAAATACAACAAATAACTCTTTGAAAGTAAATTATTTTAAAAACTCCTAAACTTTGAGTGTTGAGGATCACAGATTAGGGAATTTAATCTAGTAACTGTTTCTGTATTGTATATTGTCTTTTTTCTGTGAATAAGGTACCCGTTTTACTTAAAAATCTTTTATTGTAAAAATGTTTGGTTTTATGTTTTTATTTAATAGGTTACACATTTACATGGTTCAAAAGTAAAAAGAGTGTCCGTGAGAAGAGTTTATCCTGTGTTACTACATTCCTCTTCCCAGAGACAGCCTGTGTGCTGGGTTCTGGGTGTCCTCAGGGAGCAGTCTGCATTGACACATTACCCAGTAGTTCTTGCCCATGAACATGTACCTATACATGGTTGGAAACTTTTATGCAGAACACTTTGTGTTCTGTATTTTTTTAATAACACATATTTTCCCTTGATTTTACATAGAACTTAAACATACCAAAGGCAACTTAAATCTATTTCACTTTTTATTGTAAAGGTGCTTGTTGTAGAATATTTAGACAGTCCTGAAAGTGTAGAAAGTGAAAGTTCCCATCAGTCCAAATCACTCTTCCAAAATGTGTGTGTATGTGACAGATAACCACAGATAACCATATATATCAACATTTCCCACTCTCCAGTGGTAACCACTGTTCATGGTTTTGTGCATACAAAGTCATATCATTCTCCAGGTTACATTATTCCAAGTTAGTGTCATATCAGAGAATACCTTGCTCTTTTGAGGTTCCTCTTCAATGAGTCCAGAGTGGACTGATGTGCTGCCTTCTGGCAGAACGGGAGATTGTGAGGTTTTCAGTGGGTTTTTTGTTTGTTTGTTTTACATATAACCTTGTTTTACTTTCATCTTGCTGTCTTATCTAAATCTGTAATCACATAGACAGAAATTCTGTTTTACTTGGCATAGTGGCATGTACCCTGAAGGCACACAGTTTTATCTTACTTGGATTTAGTTAAGAAAAAACCTAATCAGGAAGCTGAGTCCTTTTGTGGTTATGCAAAGGACCAAGACGCTGTCTTTTTCTTCAGAGATGCAAATGTAAGTCTGTTAAGTCTGTTCTGGCATTTCACTGCAGCACATTTCACTCACCCAAGGGCCTGCTACTTAAGGCACCCAGGTCATTCAGGCTTTACTCTAGACCTGCTGAGTCACGGTCTCTGGAAATGGGGCCTAGATAGGTATGCTTTGAAAAAGTTGCCCAGGTAACAGTGATGGGTGCTGCTAGTCAAGAATCACTGGTTTGAAGGGAAGGTGAAAGACTCTAGAAAAGAGTGGATGTTTGTATAACTAGCTCCCTTTGCTGTCGAGCAGAAACTAGCACAACATTGAAAGTCAACTGTGCTCCAGTAAAGGTCAATTAAAATAAAAAACAAAGGGGAGGTGATCCGCCATGCCTTATCTAGACTAAAATGTGAGTGATTTGCCTGTTAAAGGAGTTTATTTTTATGTTTGTTTTGTAGCATTAACAGCAGTAATATCTTCAGCGTTCGCTTCTTTAGAACTACAGCTGTGTGCAGTAAGTACCTTCAGCTCCCTCCGTTCTTGGGAATGGAATTTTAATGAGAAGAATAACAATTGACTGAATTTAATGGCAGAAAAAGAAAGGAGAAATATGGACTGCGTGATTTTCCCCCCCTCTTTTCCTAGAGGATGATGTGATTACAGTCAAAACCCCAGCATTTGCAGAATCTGTCACAGAGGGGGATGTCAGGTGGGAGAAAGGTAAGATCTACTACCTTCTCACTTCTTAAATTTAAATACTTCTGAAAAGTCCCCTTTACTCCCCTCACCTCCATGATAATCAGTGGAACCTATGGCTCCACCCTTTTCTTTACATGCGGTGTACTTTCCCCTGGCCTGTAAGAAAGGGGTCCTGTAACACCTGCCAAAGGGGATTTTATGGCTACTTTTCTTGTTACCCACTGCTCACCCCTAACAGGTAGCCTTTGACTGTCTTTTCAGCTGTTGGAGACACAGTTGCAGAAGATGAAGTGGTTTGTGAGATTGAAACTGACAAGGTAGGCTTGGCCTATTGGTGCCATCTTTCCATGGTCTCCCCTTGGTTTCTCAGCCTAATGAGAGGAACAGGGGCTTAGTTGTTGTTTGAAGATAATTTTTAGCTGCCTCAGTTGTAAAATTGTTGGAATAGCTCAGTAAAAAGAAAAAACACTTAAAGTTTAGTTTTAGATTGTTCTAGGTGTATGTACTATGTACTTTAGTAGCTTTAGTTTTATAGCTTGTGTGTGTTTATACATGAACTGTTTTCAGTTGTTTTTTATGTATCACTTGGAAACACATTAGCTGAATCCTGCTTTAATGTTTATGAGAAAGGATAGACAAGGTGAATCTTCACAGTAGCATTGATTGCTCTTGTTCTGAAAGTGTGGCCTTGATGTTTATGCGGGGTCTTGTATATCTGTGTTGCAACTCTTGTGACTCATTTGAGATTCTATACAATTAATTTTCTAATGCTGAGTAAAAATTTGGACTCTTTCTCCATCTGTCTTCCTTTTGAAGACCTCTGTGCAGGTTCCATCACCAGCAAATGGCGTGATTGAAGCTCTTTTGGTACCTGATGGGGGAAAAGTAGAAGGAGGCACTCCTCTTTTCACACTCAGGAAAACTGGCGGTAAAGAAGTTCTCCTGGTTGTCAAGGTCTCCAGTGTTCCCCCTTGGAATTGGGGCTGAGCATAATATACTAATTCCTTGATACATCAAATACCATTTTGCACTCCCACTGCCTTTAGTGAGGCAGTAAGAGGAGATACATATATATATGTGTGTATATATATATATATATATATATATATATAGTGTGAACTTTAAATGTCAAGTTTTAGAAGAAAAGGGTATTAAGAAAATAAATCTCACAATAGTGTTCTTTCTGGTGCTTGACCTTTTCTTAAATAGGAAGGAAGAAGATTCTAGAGATAATGTTTTTTTTCCTGTCCCCTCCCCCCACCCTGGCAGCAGAGTCTCATGGGGACTTTAAAAATAATACAAATACCCAGATTCTGAGGCCAAGGGATTCTGATATATTAAATTTGGGGTTTTCAGATCCTGGTTATCTATCATAGTTTTTGTTACTGTCTTTAACACTTTCCAAGTGATTCTGATACATAGCCAGGGCTGGGAGCCACTATTCTAAAGTGAGAAGAAGCAGTGTTTCATCATGTCTATTATGGAGAATTTTGGACTAGTTTTTTCACATCTGTTCTGTCACAATATTTTTTAGGGAGGGTTGAATTTTTTTGGGGAAGAAATGAGAAATAAGGAAATGAATTTATATTGGATCTTATAGTCAGTATTAGAGATTAGGAAAGAAAACTTTTGATTTTTAAGTGCTATAACTACTAAAGTCTATTTCATGGTTAAGATAGTTAAGCAGAAAGATGGTAGATGGCATCATTATGTTCGATCAGGATAAGATCAGAAGCCAAGAATGGAAAGAACATACAGTAGAAGACTAGGGAATAAGATTGATTCTTCTAGTTGGAGAATTTCACCTTCTGACCATTTCTTAGAGGATATTCTTCTGATTTAAATATAAACCCAGATGGTGATATCCAAATGGGTAAAATAAAAAGATATTTAAAGTTGTGAATTTCATTGCTTGACCACCTCATTAGTTTCTGAGAGTTACTCTAGATAAAATGCTTTGAACTCTTAAGTCTAAATGTGTCCTTGATTATTTAAGCGTTTATTTTTTAATAGTTAAGACAGTTCTTCCACATGTGATGTTAAAATAGGAGACACAGGAGACAATCAGTATTACTGTAACTGGAAAGTTGTTTCTTTTATTTGTGTGTTTCAACATCTTAAATTGCTGGGTTTCTTTTGCTTTGAAGTCTATTACCATTGACTTAGGTGCTTTGAAAGTATTGGCTGAACTTGATGACTAATAGATATTTATGCAATCAGGAAGGCAGCTGAATTCAGTCAGTTATCTAATGTAGGACATCTAGGAATCCTGGGGAAAGAACAGTGCTTTAAATCACTCTGTGTATCTCATAGCCTTACACGTATAGCAGGTACTCAGGAAGCATTTGTTAATTGATGAGAGAGAGAGCTTTTGCTGTTAAATTCTACTTAGTATCTGCAGTTTGGTTGCTTTCTGTTCCACATAGTGCCAATGGCATCTATTTTTCTTGTTTTCCAGCTGCTCCTGCTAAGGCCAAGCCAGCCGCAGCCCCTGCTGCCGCAGCCCCAAAAGCAGAACCCGCAGTGTCTGCAGTTCCTCCTCCCCCTGCAGCATCTGTACCTACCCAGATGCCACCTGTGCCCTCACCCTCACAGCCTCTCACTAGCAAGCCAGGTAAGCCTCTGCCTCCCACGTGTCTTTCTATGGCAGAACATCTCACCTAATGTCACATTCCCTCGGAGGGCAAAGTCTAAGACTAATTATGGCTCTGGACAGGCTTCATTGGCTGTGTTGTAGAAGAAACTCTAGACTTTGTATCAGAAGACCTGAGTTTGCATCGCAGCTTCCTGTGTATAGCTGTGTGACCTTAGACTAGTTATTTAACTTCTCTGACCAGATTGTTCATTTGTGAAGTAGGAATGATACTAATATATCTCAGCATACCTTGAAGATTAAATGACAAGTGCAGTGTGAAAGCATGGGCATATATTCAAGTAAATGTTTCTCATTTTCTGATTCAGTGTACCCTCTCTTCATTTACAGTGTCTGCTGTAAAACCCACTGTTGCCCCTCCAAGAGCTGAGGCAGGAGCTGGTATAGGTCTGCGTTCAGAACATCGGGTAAGCCTGTAAGGACCACTTCCAAGAAAGAAGCCGAGGAGCACTGTTAAGATTAATAAAATATGGGTATGCTCTGCCTGCCTTTGAGTGGCCGGCAGCTGATTCCCTTGGCCTGGCAAGGAAATTCAGTTTAGGAAGTGACTTGTTCATTCACATGACTGTCAAATGATAAGACTAGAATTGGAGGTCTTCTGAACACTTGTCCATTGGTTTTTTTCCCACTCTGTCATGCTACCACTGAAGTGCTGTGGGTGAGAAAGGTATATGCAGGGGATGGTAGCCTAGTAATGCTTCTCCTCCCACCAACACTTCAGAGAGGTGGTTTAGTGAGCTCTATTCCTGTTCTTCCGGGATGCTTAGCTGAGGTCTGCCCAGTGGCAGTCAGGGGCAGGCATAAAACCTCAAGGAAGTATGGTCAAGAGTGTGAGTTCCTCTGCCTGAGAATACCTCCTAAAAATACGATAGCCTGAAAAATGTGTTGCTTCTGAGTTTCCATTCCACAAGTAGCTACTCTCATGCAAGTCTTTATCACCAGAAATTGCCTTGTCTATAATGACTCTTGGGCTGGCTCGCCCTACACCACACTCTTCCTTTCCATAAATTGGTTTTGGTTTATAAACCAAACCATTTCCTGGGCCTCTATTCTTCATCAGACTTCAGGGCACATCCGAGTGAATAGTTTTTGTCTGTGTTTCCTTGTTCTCACTCAGAGGAGCAAGCCACCACAGGAAAGAGGAAGCCTGGATCTCTTCCTGTATTTAGATGCTACGGTCTTTAATTATCCCCTTCTAGCATGCCCATGCTCCTGCAGACTAAGTGGGAGGGCTAGGCCCAAAGACACCAGGTTGGCAATACTTGTCCCACTCTCCCTTTCAGGAGAAAATGAACAGGATGCGGCAGCGCATCGCTCAGCGTCTGAAGGAGGCTCAGAACACCTGTGCGATGCTCACCACTTTCAATGAGATTGACATGAGGTGAGAGCTCTAGTCCTGCTCCCTGTGCTCTTTTTCTTGCAAAACTCTTGAACTTGCCCAAAACTAACTTAACAGAAAAGAAGTACTTCTTTGCACTATTTCTTGAGTGACCCACTGGTTTCATTCTCTGATTGACTTTCCTAATACTATGCCTGCCTCCTCCGTGACTTAAAAAACTTAGCCTGTAGATTTATACCTGAATCTTGTGATTTCTGATAAATGAGGCTGGTAATAGTCTTAAACTCTAATGGCCACTGTTAACAAGTAGAGACAGGGGAGCCAGGCCAACAAGGCTCCCCTTCAGGATGGAGAATCATTTGACACCATGCCCAGAGTCAGGGGGCCATACCCTGCTTCCTTCTCAGTGTGACTGCTGCTTATGTGTGTTCCTAAGCCACTCAGGATTGAGTGGGTAGAAAGGCATAGGCTTTTCATATCTTTCACCTTTCTCAACTTCGATAATGAAATGGGAAGCAAGTTTTGCTTTTAAAGAAAAAAACCTCAGAATATTAACCAAAGGGGCTGATTCAGTATGCTCCTTTCTATAGTGAGCTAATTGTTGACTCACTTTTCTTCTCGAAGACTTTGTTTACAGGTGTAGGGAAGAGAATGTAGTTAGAGTCAACAGATGGTTTTTGATTGCTTACTGTGTACAAGATACTACACTATATTTTGGTGGGATGCAAAGATGAGTGATAACCCTTAGCCTGGAGCTACCATCTTGTTGGATAAATGCAAAGTAAAATGTAGAAAAACAAGTATCAGAAACATAAAAAGTGTGAGGTGGAGAAGATGAGATTGTTTGTTTTTGAGGTGGAGGAAGGAGTCTGGAAAGGCTTCCTGGAGAAAGAGATCTTTAAGGGGCCTTAACGATTCACATTTTGGCATAATGGAGGAAGGTCATTGCAGAAGATGTTAACAATATGGACCTGGCACAGATAGGAAAGTACAGGACACATCTGAGAGACAATCACTGTGAGGAAGATGTGTAGAAAATTTCAGAATGTTTTAAGGGCCAGGGTAAGAGTTCATATATAATACAGGAAGTAAAATTATCAAGTCTTTAGGTCATCTCGTTGCTTCTTTTTATCCCAAGTGCTTTAGTCTGCTAATCTGCATTTCACTAGGGTAAATGGTTTTCTTTGGAAAGGGTCTGAAAAGTGTAGAGAGGGAGATGGTTTAGTGACAGCGTGCTGTAGCATTGTTCACAGAGTAGGGTTCTGTGGTTCATTTCACTGGATGTCATCTATTCTATTGTGAAGCTTCCCCAAAAGACTAGATGTCATCCAAGCCAAAGATTTCTCTTGTATCCATAGGATGTAGGGAAGGACCTTGACTAATGAATCACAAAGGCTGCAGCTTATGTTTCAGTGCATTAGGGCCAAATTGTACACAAATTGAATTGGATTTTGAAATTCTACCCAATTCCTTAAGACAAACCATGTAAATATTTGTGGCCTTGAAAGATGCAGTTGGCCCAACAGCTTTGATTGGAAAGTAAGTACAGTAGTTGGATCTGCTTTCAGCAGCTAATCTAAGTGTCACATAATGATGGCCTGGGGTCCCTCTGCAGTCAGTAATCTGGTTTAGATTGAGTGCCCTTTAGGTCTTGTGCTGATCAGCTAACCCATAAGGGGCCTTTCTGAGACCTCCTCCTCTCCCCTGTTGTCCCAGCCTCTGCCTCCAAGGACAAAACTCTGAAATAGAAACTACTTAATGACCAGACAATAGCATTTGGGCAGTTTTGAGAGCAGAGATGTTTATCGCTTCTCTTTCCCTCTTCTGCAGCTCTTGTGTCTTGGGAACCAGTAATGTCTTTAGGGTGGTAATCCTAGCACTAAATGTAGTTAGACTCAGGAAAACAAACATTTTAAACCCAATCAGTCCCCCTAGGAAAACTTCCGTTTTAAAAAACAAGAGGTCTAAAGAGGGGAGTTAAAGTTATACCATCTTACCTTTCGTGCTAATGTCACATTAAGCCATTACAGGGAGAAAGAGAAAACTGAGCATTTGGGCCTGAGATAAAGTTAAATTCGATTTCCATCACGGAACTGTCTTCCCATAAATACGGAGATTTCTGCAGCAAAATGATGGGAAAGCCATTTCCTGCTAACTCTAGTACATGTGTTGTATGTTTGTGAAAAACCAGCCCCAAAAGAACAAAAATTGGTCACGCTGCAAAGGTTTCCCAGTAGCCTTGCTGCTTATACTTTAAAAAGCTTAGGTCCACACATGGTCACTTTTCTAAATACCAAGGAAACTATGTCCATTAAATTAATTTTAAGGGCAAGAACTGTGTATTATCTTTATGTCTTGGTGCCTTGCATTGACCACCATGTGTGGTGGGTGTTAGTGCCCATTTGAAGGAACCAAGCAGATGGAACTGCTCACTCTGGGAGATGCTTGAATATACTGACTTCCTCATGAGCCTAACACAACACTGGATTATATCCATCCATAGGTAGTCAAGACTGCTTTTGTTCAAATGAAACCTATGTGGTTTGGGGGTTTTTTTGTTTTCATTTATTAGAAATGTCACAAGGAAGTCATAATTAGGTTTGGTGGTATTTTGAAAATAAACAAGAAATATTTAATGAAAAAGTCACTCAGTCATGTCCAATTCTTTGTGACCCCAAGGACTGTAGCTTGCCAGTCTCCTCTGTCCATGGACTTCTCCAGGCAAGAGTACTGGAGTGGGTTGTCATGCCCTTATCCAGGGGATCTTCTCAACTGAAGGATTGAACTTGGGTCTCCTGAATTGCAAGCAGATTCTTTACCATATGAACCACCAGGGAATCCTATTTAATAAAAAGAAAAAGAATGGTGCTTATTTTGTGGACTTTATGCTTTTAAGAAAAGAAAAAGATATTTTCAGGGTAGATAGCTCATGAATTCAGTGTAGCTAGAAGTCACTTTCTTGTCCAGGGTGAGGCTATTGATATGCTGTATGAACTCATTCATTTTGTCTGTCACAAAATCTCTGACTTCTGGAGCATGAAAACGCCCTTACACAGAGTGGATCTGATTCCTTTGGATCCAGGTTTTTAAAGGAATGAAGTAATTGTGTTACCCTCTAGTGGAATATTTCAAAACTTGAACTTAGATGGTCCAGAGAAAGGGAAAACTTTACCCAGTTGTATACCTGGAGTTAGAAACCAGTGTGAAAGTCAGAGTTGAGGCTTCTTTTGTGGTCAGTTTGTTTTGTAATGTGTTCTTGCAGTAACATCCAGGAGATGCGGGCTCGGCACAAAGATGCTTTTCTGAAGAAACATAACCTCAAACTAGGCTTCATGTCGGCATTTGTGAAGGCCTCAGCCTTTGCCTTGCAGGAGCAGCCTGTGGTAAATGCAGGTGAGTTTGTGGTGGCCAGAATCAACAGAGGTCCTGGAGGTATGTGTGTAAATACAGAAATGCTCCCCCACACTCAACACACAAAAACGACGGTCCTCTGACTGAGGCTCCTTATTTCAGATGTGTGAGAACGTGAGTACCTTTCCTAGGGATTTCTGGACTGACCTTCCTGAATGGGCATCATGAGTGCTTCCTCCCCATCAGCTGGACAGAACAGGTTCCCTTCCCAGTGCAGAGCTTGGCAGCTGCTCTGGTGACAGGCAGTTCTGAGCCAGTCCGTTTCTCCAAGCTTCTCATGTCAGTGTGGAAACTCATGTTGTGGCTGCTGCCCACCCTCCCACAAGCCCTGTTATCTTGGGACCTGACTTCTGTACTTGGCATAGCTCCAGGGTGACCTTTGATTTCTGGCCAGTGGACTTCACTGGAAGGCCCTGGGCTTGGCCCCTCTTTTGTGGGCTGGGTGCTCATTTTCCTTACCTTTTGCTCGCCTGCATCGTTGAAATGTTGACCTAACAAGCAGTTCTCTTCTCCCCTGAGACAATTCTCTGTGTCCTTGGATGATTAGAGAGAGGACATTGGACACTTTTGCAACCCTCAGCAGTGCAGGGTCCCGAAAGGTCTAGAAATAGAAGTCCTAATCCCTTCTGCTAAGTGGTGTGCCCTCAGGTAGGGGAAGGGCTTTGTTTCATCCAAATGTGAAACCTCTTTACTGCTTCCATTCTTATGCTTCCTGATGACTCTCTGCATCTCTTCTGCCTGCGCATACATGTAGGCATTTCTCAGAGTTCCCTTGGCCTCCTTTTCACTTTATATGCTTTTCCTGGATATCCTATCTACAAAACAACATAGAATTCCTATGGAAAAGATTCTCAAGCCTGTATTTTCTCATGAGCACCAGACTTAATTTCTTTTTTTTTTTCCATTTATTTTTATTAGTTGGAGGCTAACTACTTTACATCATTGCAGTGGTTTTTGTCATACATCAAAATGAATTAGCCATGGATTTACATGTATTCCCCATCCCGGTCCCCCCTCCCACCTCCCTCTCCACCCGATCCCTCTGGGTCTTCCCAGTGCACCAGGCCCGAGCACTTGTCTCATGCACCCAACCTGGGCTGGTGATCTGTTTCACCCTAGATAATACACATGTTTCGATGCTGTTCTCTTGAAACATCCCACCCTCGCCTTCTCCCAGAGTCCACAAGTCTGTTCTATACATCTGAGTCTCTTCAGACTTAAATTCTTAGCTACTGGTTTGCTCTCTCAGGCTAGCATATTAAAGACAGACCACACCGCTTCCTACCGAGTCTTCTGGAAAGAGGCTTCCCTTGCTCCTTGTTGGGAGTGAGCAGCAGAATGGGCAGCATCCCCGCACGTCACTTCCTGTACTGACTTGCCCTTTCTGGGGGCACTTCTAAACCTGCCCTTAGCTGAGGGAGGGCTGGAGTAGAGCTGGTGAGCGAGAACCTGGGCACACGCTTGGCCCCGTGTTAGCCTGTGGACCGACCCGCCTCAGGGCTGCCGAGGAGACAGGTGCTCCTGTGCGCCAGCCTAGTCAGTACACCTGGGAGGAGTCACGGTTGGTTGGCTTGGGAGTAAGAGGAGTGCCGGCTGCCCTTGGATCGCGGTGCTTGCTGTGCTGGCTGCTCAGTCCACACTGTACGAAGCATCTCGGATTTTTACTCTATTAATGCGAGTGTTTCCTCACTAGCCTCGGCCTGGGGAGTTACATGTAATGTGTGTTTTCTCTTTCATAGTGATTGACGATGCAACCAAAGAGGTGGTGTATAGGGATTATATTGACATCAGTGTTGCGGTGGCCACCCCTCGGGTATGTTGGAGCAAGAAGTGGGGATCTCTGGTCTTTGACTCTTACCCATTTGAAGAAGCAGGCCTCTTGAGAGACTTTTTCTGTAATTTTGTTTTTCTAGAAGGGAGTTGTTTGAAGAATAAACCTGTTTTTGACCATACCACATTATTTTATCTTTTGCAAGTCTAAATATTTTAGACTATATTAATCATGTTGAGTAATTAAGATACTCTGGGGAGACCTTTGGCTTGAATCAAGAGAGTTGTAACTATAAAGGGTACTGTTAATTTACATCTGAAAAGAGATTTTTACTCTCATCAGGGTCTGGTGGTTCCCGTCATCAGGAATGTGGAAACGATGAATTATGCCGATATTGAGCGAACCATCAGTGAACTGGGAGAGAAGGTAAAATGGAAGGGTGTGTGTGAGCTGCAGGGCAGGTCAGGGAAGAGAGCCTGGGGAGGCTGGGCCAGTGAGCGGTGCTCAGGGAGCTGGGGCCTCCCTTCATTGTGAAAAGGGGACATAGCCCTGAGAATGGCAGTCACGAGCAAGAGCTGAAGTATAGCTCTGGTGGAGCTTGTGGTGCTCCTGTGAGTGAAGATTTCATCTCATCCGGGTAAACCTGCTCGGAAAAGGGAAGGTCCAGAGTCCTTTCCTCCGGCCTGTAACGAGTCACAGGCATCTCAGTTAAAGCTAGAACTTGGACCATTGATCTCAGATGTGAGCCTTCTGGACTTCCTTTAGGTGGAGGAAGCTGGGTTGACATTACCTTTCAATTATAAAATCTGTTTTTAGGCCCGGAAGAATGAACTTGCCATCGAAGATATGGATGGTGGTACTTTTACCATCAGCAATGGAGGTGTTTTCGGCTCCCTCTTTGGAACGCCCATCATCAACCCCCCTCAGTCTGCCATCCTAGGCATGCATGCCATCGTTGATAGGCCAGTGGTTGTGGGAGGCAAGGTAGGAACCATCACCGTTAATGTCCCAGCAGCTACGTGAAGAGGTGAGGGAAGTCTTAACTAAATGCTCGTTAAAGGTTCACTGTAATTTCAGGCATAAGTTGAATCTCTTCATCTCTAATTAATAGCTAAGGCATTGGTTCTCAAATTGTGTGTGGAACAGCAGCACCTGGGAACTTGTTGGAAATGCAAACTCTTGGCCCCTTCTCAGACCTAGTGAAGCAGAGAGTATAGATGGTTCTGAGGCACATTAAGGTTTGAGCACCATCAAGCTGAGAAAGCTTGCTCCTTCATCTGGGACTAGTCAACAGGCTTCCTTCTATAGAGGTTGTGGGGGTACCATTGAAGGCGTGGTCCTCGCCTTGGGAAGTGGAGGACAGCAGTGCAGAGCCGCTGTCAGCTTGCCGGGTTGTAGTGATGATGTTTAGAGCTCTTCTGGGAGTCAGGGAATGAGGTTGGAGGGTCTTGAGCTGGCCCTTCAAGATATGTTGGTAGGAAAATGTTTTGTGGGACCCTTGTGTTTAGAACCTTTTGAAGTCCCTAACTCCTTGAATCCAAAAATTGTAGATATCTGCTGAAAATGCTCATATACCCAACCTTGCATAGAGGTTCAGAGAATTTGTGGACCCCAAGTTAAAAAAAAATTATTTTATCTTCAAAGAAAAAACTGCAGGTAGCCAAAATTGAAGAGGAACTATTCCTTGTAGATGGCAGATACGTGAGAGGGAAGAGCATGGTTTTTATTTAAAGACAGTTGTAAGGAGACGCCTGTTTTCTTGGGTTAAGCTTTTTGTTTTTGAGTGTGGGAGCTTTGCACTCAGGGTCTGGCTTGGTCTTTGAACACATTATATCTAGAAGCAACAAAGCAAAGTAGGAAAGTCTCTGGACCTGGGGACTTAACTGTGGGTTGTGCTTAGTCATCTCCCCGCTTCATCAGGGCTTTCTCTGCCCCACTGCAGACAAACCTGTCAGCCTCTCTTCTCTGTAGGTGGAGGTGCGGCCCATGATGTACGTGGCCCTGACGTATGATCACCGGCTGATCGACGGCAGAGAGGCTGTGACTTTCCTCCGCAAAATCAAGGCGGCGGTAGAGGATCCCAGAGTCCTCCTACTGGACCTTTAGGAGGAAGCCTGTGCCCCACACAACCATGCAGGAACTGAAAACCAGTCTTCTCCCTGTCCCCTCACAGGCCCCAGGTCAGCCTGGTGACAGGCACATGCTGTTGGCCTCAAGCAAGGAAACCAGGGCACTATGTAACCAGCAGTCGCAGGTCTCTCGGTGTTCCTGCCAGGCTCTCTCCCTCTCTGCACCCTCTCCTACACTCAAATATCTGATTTCCTTAGGCTTGAGGGAGAGAGAGAGCCTTATGGATGCTTGTTATTCCTGCCTTTCCTCCCATTAGCCCTCCACAGAGATGATTTCGCTTTCTTCCTGTCCAGTACACCATAGGGAAACTGCCGGGGACCATGTGATTAAGTTTCTATCTTTTGAACGTCTGTTCTCCAGAGATGCCGAGGAGGGTGCTCTGCCTCCCAGGCTCGGAGCCGCCTCCGTCCTGGTGGCGCCGTCCTCGCTCGATTCCCCCCGTGAGGAGGTGCCGACCACAGGCCGCAGGTGCTGCTCTGCCTCGGTGGTGCCTGCGTTCTCAGCTGTCATTGTCTGAGAGCTGCCTCTTGTACCTCTTCCAGGAAGCACATGCTGGGGGATCTGGAGGGGCAGAGCGGGGGAGTAGGCAGGTTCTGAGGTCGTGTGTCATAAACAGGACTGGAGCAGAACCCAGGCCTGCCCTCACACTCTCCGTCATAACTGCACCAGGAAGACCCGTTTTGGCACAAGCACACACAGCTGTGGCTGTGCCGACCTTTCCAGGCTGCTAGGAACCATTTCTGCCACCTTGTTCTCACTTAGATGCTAGCACCTCTTGGCAGGGAGACAGAGCGTGCCCCAGCCTCGGGCTCCTGGTAGAGACTGGCGTGAAGGTGACTTCCTGTGGACTGGCTCAGATTGTCTTGAGCTGTTCAATTCCCTTGGTATAAGCCTGTGGGCTGCAGAGGCGCTTCTGTTCCTCCCTGTGCCAGTGCCCTTCGGGAGTGGACCCTCAGCTCTTCCTCGGTAGAACACAGGTCTGGTGGAGGATGGATGTGGTGGAAACCCGCCCAGGGTGCTTGCACACAGTGGGGAAGAGGCCAGTGTCGCCTCTGAGGTACTGCCTTGGGTCTGGGCACTGACATTGGAGTTCTTCGGAGCATGGTTAAATGCACACATCTTGTCGGGAAAGTTACTGGGCTTCATCACGTTGTATCCCAACTGCATCCAGGCCTGAGGCTGCTGACCCTTGACAACCGGGAGCCATTTACTTAGTGTGGAATGCCCATTCGTATCTTGAGGGAAGAAGCAAGGCCTGGGGGTTGGGTGGGGGAGGGGTGGGAGCCAGTACTGAGTGCCTGCAGCAGCTACTCTGTCTTCACTATTCAGAACTTGTAACTCAATATTTAAAGAAACTGATTTTAAATGCAAATTAAAGGGCAAATGTTCGCAAACAGTGTTCCTGCTTCTGTACTTCTTTTGGTTACTGAGGTTGTACTGATGAAGAAAAACTTGTTCCACCCTACTTGAAGCCCTTCAAATGCTGGCATTTTGGTGGGGCCTCATGTTATTTCTGGGATGGACTGGGGAGAGGTGGAGCGACTCATAATTTCACATTTTGCAGTTGATGGCCACATCGGTACCCAGTTGCTCAAGGTTGGTCAGAACAAATGAGGGTAGATCACCTCCTTGGGGCAATGGTCTGTGAGGGCTAGCAGATGGGGCTGAGAGCTGATGTGTGCGGAGTACTTGTGACAGTGCTTGGTAGTGTCCAGGCTGAAACAGTCTGGCTGTTCCCCACGCAGTCCCCGCCTGCTGACCTTGCTCGCAGTGGTACCATCTTTATATGAAGGTCTGTCACAGGAACAGAGTGGCTCCTACAGGGCAGAACTAGAGCTAGTAGAAGAAACTTGGGTTCAATGAAAGAATTTTAGAATGATCAGGTCTGGGGCATGGAGCTACAAGCTTTCATATCTTTACTAAACCTACAAAGGAGGTATATTTAGCCCTGTTTTTATCAAATGGAGACAGACTGTAAACCCTGCTGAGACCACAGATCTAAACCCAAGGCCTAGCAGCGTGTCAGATGTGCAGTACTTATTGCATGAATGAGGCCCAGAAGTTCCAGAGGTAACTAGTGCTTCATATGGTGCTTGGAGGTGGTCTGGCCTGACTTAGTGTAATAGAAGGAACAGACTTGTGAGTGTACTCCACCAGGCTCTGGCCAGGTCCTCTCATTTACCTCCTTGAATTCCAGTCTTCTCAGCAGGAGCCACCATGTGTTCAAGGGGTCACTGTGAGGATTGCCCCCTCCCCCCAACCCCCACAAGCACCATGACCATCTTTGAAGACTTTCTTGTTTTATATCCCACAGAGCCCAGTGTCCCCTACATGCTGGGACTTTTCTGTGGGTTCACAGCTGCTCTGTGGGGTACAGGCTGGCATGCTGTCCACTACCAGCCCTGCTTCCTCCTTCCTAGCAGGTTCCAAACACACTCTTGGTTATCATGGAGCTCCTCCTCCTCTATTCCAATTCTCGCAGGGCCCCTCTCATTGCGTTAATGAGGCAAGGACACCAGAGGCAAGAGCAGGCTTTATTGGAGTGGGGGTGGAGGAGGCGGGCAAGCCCAGGGAGAGCCAGCACCTCCCTGTGTCCTTGGCCTCAGGCTCATCCCAAGGACCTCCCTGCAGCACAGGCCCCCAGCCCTTCACAGCCAGGACTGGAGGGCGGTGTCAGAGATGCCGCCTGGTGTGATGGAGACTCAGGCGAGAAGGAGTTGTGGGCAGAGGTCTATGGAAGTTTCTGTCTTGGATTCCACACCTCAGTGACAGGGTGAGTCCTGAGAGGAAGAAGGGGGCCCCCAAATCTGGGGAGGGAATTATCTTTAGGGGTAACTACTTATCCTAGCTCTTCAGAGACCAGAAACTTCTTGCTTCTGGCTAAAAGCTTGGGCAATCATTCTGGGTGTTGCATGGTTTCATTTCAAAAGGAAATGAAGTCACAGTGGGTAGTGGATTGAGTGGACCCTCAACACTGAAATGCAAAATGGTAAACAGGACAAATGTCCAAGAAGGGAATCCTAGTGGAGACAACTTTCCTTCAAGTGGCTTCAGGCTGGAAACAGAATCCTGGTTCCCCCGGCTCAGACCCACGGGCCAGGGTTTGCTTTCTCTCCACGTGAGTGGGCTAGCTGGGGAAGGGAGCTCTTTATTCTGTTTTCAAAACTTCTGTAAGTGGCAGAGCTGTGCCTTCCCCTCTTTCTTCCCCTTCCTCCTTATCCTTATTTTCCTCCCCTCCTTTCCTTTTGCTCTCAAAGGTCTGTAATCACAAGGTAAGCGGCATGGTCAGGAGGGGATGGGTTGTCCTGTCCCTCCCGCTCCACCCCATGTCCACTACAGACTTCTTCCCTGCTTCCCCACCTCCCCCATCCCCTGGGGAAATAGCCTTTGATAGAAGGGTCACACTGGTTGCGTGGCTAAGATGACCAACTAGGACAGCCCTGGTTTGGAGCCAGGAAGCCAGGGGACTAGTATCCTGAGATGAGTCTCCAGAGACATCCTGAGTGGGGCGCATGGCAGATCACAAGTCAAGAGTTCTCGGCTCAGCAGGTGGTCAGTAGCTCAGAGCTAATGCCAAGGAAGGCACCTTTTAATGGCAGGTCCGAGTTCAAGGTACAGGGTGTAGACACAGCAGGTGACTGTTGACTGATGGGCGAAGGATGGACAGGTGGAGACGTTCAAGCTGCCTAACAGGCTGAGATCTTTGTCCCTCAGCACCAACTAGAAAGCATTTCTCCGAGAGGTGGCTAGGGGAGTCCACAGGCCCTTCCTGGTCAGTGGCGATGAGACTGCTGAGGCCCAAGGGTGGGGTCCTGACCAGGAAAGGCAAAGCTGCCTTGCATTCTTTGCCCGTGGGCCACTGATGGGAGGTGGCAGGCAAAGAGACAAGAGGAGATCCAGACCAATCCGGCCACCCTGATTGCCGATGCCACACCCTCCTACCCCACCAGTTTGCTCCACTGGATGGAACTGAAAAAGGGGTGGGCCTTGAGCTTGTGGACACCGTCTCCTCCAGAGCCCAGGCGCTGGGCCGGATCGAACTGCAGCAGCTGCGGAGAAAAGCTCAGTCAGCCCTGGGCAGGCCGGCCAGACCCCCGGAATCCCATGCTACCCTGGTGGGGGAGGCGGACATTGGTGTTTGGCCACTGAGATATAGAAATTTGTTGGTCCTGGGACCCTCCTGCTCCCACACCAGACACCTAGTACATGGGGTGAGTTGTTCACACACAGGGCTCTGTCCTCCCTTCTGTCCACCCTCAGGCCAAGAAGGCGCCACTGGGAGGCCACCTGCACCTCACCTCAGTCAGCAGGGAGGCCGCCGGGCCACTGAGCTGCTCTGGCAGCTGCAGCTGGGTGTGGGGCTGGATTCCTGAGGGGTGGCTCTGGGACAGCGCCTGGGAAGACACGGGGAGGTGGCCCCCAGGAGTCTGTACACTCCAGTGGCGGCCGAGATTTTATTTCTTCCCCCTGTGTCACACCTCACGGGCACGGTCATCACTCTGTCGCCCTCTGCTTTGGATCTGCTGCCTGCCGGGCTGAGGAAGTGCCTGACACCTGTGATCCCTAGTTTCTGCAACAACCTTCAAAGTAAGCAATTGGCATCCCCATTTTAAGGGCAAGAAGCAGGCTCTGAGAGGTCGACAGATCTGTGCTGATTTCAGGGCTTGAACCCAGGCCCCTGTGGCTCCAAGCTTGCTGGAAGCACCGGCCTTGGGTTGCCATCGGGGCAGGCACTCTATCAGGAGCAGCACTGAAACCTCTCTCCTTACAGAAAGCAAATCTCCATGGGCGGCTCCTTTGCCATGGCATGCTCCTGCCAGGGTCAAGGCAGGGCTGTGGTGAGACAAGAAGGCAGGACCTATCTGTGCTCCAGAAGGGTGCAGCTGCAGGGAGCAGAGAGGTGTGTCTGGAGGTCAGGAAGACAGGCAAGAAGCCACCTGGAGGAAGGCCAGGAGCCCTGAGCTGGACAGGTGGGAGGGCCCCAGCTAATAGGAGAGAACCACTCTGGGAGGTTGTTTCGCAGCCAGGGCTCTCAGAGGCCCTGGCCTCGGGACCAAAGCAGGAGGCAGCCAGAAGTGACCGGTCAGCTCTGAACTTCCGGTTACACTGCGTCCTCTAGGGCACTTTCTGCTCAAATGGAGCTTGGCCTCTCCCTGATGTCTGATTTAACTGGCCCCAGGTGCAGCCCTGAGCTCATGGGGGAGGACAGAGAGCTGAGCCCACCACCCTGAGCAAGGTGCTTGCGAGGGAAACTTCAAGCTCTGGGTCGACCCAGGCTGGACAGGGCAGCTGCTGGCCTGGGATGATGGAGACCCTCTCTCTGGCCTTCCAGCCAAAGTCTGGGAGTCACAGCTCTGAAGGGTGTGGATGGGGGGACGTGGTGTGAGCAGTGGGGAGAGGAGGCCTGGGGGGATGATCCGAGGAAAAGGGCTGTGTCACACTCAGCCTCCCTCCAGAGCCAGGCCCAGGCGCCCTCTTCCAGGAACCTTCCCTGAGCACCGCAGCTCGACTCTCCCTCATCTAAGTTGACCGTCTCCCTAGCTATCGCCACTTGCCTGATGAGGGTTGGGGGTGCAAAGTGTGGCCAAGGCCTGGATGGGAATTGCTTCCTCCTTCGCGCATGGCCTCTGGCCTGGGGGAGAGGGGGCCTGTGCTGACAAGACATTGGGCCCAATGGCCAGGTCTTGAGCAATCAGGTAGGCTCAGCCCCCAACACTGACCGGTTGGACTAACCCCAGCCCACGCTATGCTCAGTGACACCCGCCAGGCTCCACACCCTGCCCGCACAGAGCTCACCGTCCCGGTCAGCAGTTCATACAGGAGAGACCCAAAGCTCCACCAGTCGCAGGCTTCAGTCAGCTCCGAAATCCCACCGACCTCTGCGGGAGCCAGAACGCAGCCTCGCTGAGCGGGCAGGTCTCCCCTCAACCCCTTCCCCCCCCACCCCCACCCTGGGATGTGCCTGTCCCCGGGCCCCACCCACGCCCAGACGCCCAGGGGCTGCCCCGCCCCTCCCTTCTTGCCTGGGGCGCTGTAGAAGTTTCGCGAAGCCTCCCTGCAGCACTGGGGCTCCACCTCTGACCACTGGCCAAAATACGTGAGCCGGATGTGGCCTTGTCATCCCGCGCGTGTGCAGGGAGGAGCCAGAGGGGGCGAGAGCTGCAGTGAGTCATCCTGGAGCCTTTGGCGTGGGGCAGGGGACCCCAGGAGCCAGTGGGCTGTGCTGGGCAGAGGTTCCCTAGGGGCACGGCCCCTCCACCCCGAGGTCCCCGGGATAACCTGGTCTTCACAGGAGCGGCTGCCCCGGAGCTCAGGGTGGGGAAAAGGGTCTGCTTTCCAAGCTCAACCACGGCCAGCCAGGCGGGCTTGGCCGAGGCCTTCCCGAAAATGTAGGGGGTG